GAGACGGGCTGAGCTTCGACAGGCGGCTTCCGCCTCCTCTTGCCTCTCAACGGGGCCACGCTTGGTCCCCTCCTGCTCCGTCCAGGGCCAGGCGGTGCTGAGGGGGAGGCTCAGGGTTCGGGGGGGGGGGCTTGGTTTTCCCTGGCAAAGCCACTAACGCTCCCCCAACCTCTCTCAGTTTGGAAACATGGAGGGCATCACCACGGCGGTGATAGACGAGTTCCCGTCGCTGCGCGGCTGGAGGCGCAAAGCTCTATTTCTAAGCGGCCTTTGCTTGGCCTTCTACCTGCTGGGCCTCCTCTTGATCACGGAGGTGAGGACGGGTGTGTGTGTGTGTGTGTGTGTGTGTGTGTGTGTGTTTAAGCACCCTGCCCTTTCCCCGTTTCCATGATCACAACGTACCTCCCGTTTTGTGTTGACAAGATCCTCTTGACTTACTCCGGGTTAGTCCTCAACTTACAACAGCTCATTTAGTGACCATTCGAAATCAGAACGGCGTTTTAAAAAGTGACTTAGGACCCCTTTTCACACTTACGACTGTTGCATCTCCAAAGTCCCCTGATCAAGGTTCAGATGTTTTGGAAACTGACTTGCATTTACGACGATCGCCGTGCCCCAGGGACCTTCTGACCAGCCGAGTCAATGGGGGAAGCTGGATTCACTTAACAGCCCTGGGACTCACTGAACCACTGCAGTGATTCACTTAACAACGGTCTCACTTAGCAACATAAGTTTTGGGTTCCGTTATGGTCACAAGTCGAGGACTCCCTCTCCTGTGACCCAAGGCACCTTGTCTCTCGGGGGATCTGCCGTAAAAGAGGACGGAAGAGGGCTGGGGGTTCACTCCGTGTATTGGGAACCCAGTTTCTGCCTTGGCGGGAGGCCTAAACCGGGCAACCACCTCAAGCCACCATGCGCAGGAGCCGCCCTCTGAACGGATGTGGCTTGTTCCCGGGATGACTAGACCAGATTTGGACACCCTATGGTGTAGTCCTTGTTGTCCTGACCGAGCACAGCATGAGGGGCTACATAGTCCTGGTCAGGCATCGCCTCCTTGCAAGGCAGCTGAAGGGTCTTTTGTGACCCCCGCCCCCGCCTTGCAGCCTCCTGTGTTCTGCGGGGACCCCCAGCGGTGGGTTTGGGGACCCTTGCAAACCTGCTCCGGTGGGAGTCCGGGCTCTGCCTGGGGGAGAAGCCCACCCTGCAGCCCCCAGAAGTGAGAGCCCCAGACCCACTGGGGAGGCCCAGGCCGGTTCTGCCCACTTGGGTGCCAGGCGTTTGCGTCTTTCCTCTCGCAGGGCGGCATCTACTGGTTTACCCTCATCGACGCCTACAGCACCAGCTTCGGCCTCATCATCGTGGCTCTCTTCATGTGCCTCGGGGTCACCTTCTGCTACGGTGAGTCTCGGTGGGGTGAGCAAGCTGGGTCAGCATCTCCTCCTGTGGGACTGCCCGGCCGGCGGGGGAGCTGTGTCTGTCTTCACCACTAACCAGCATAGGTGGTTTGTTCCTGTGCAAAGGGTCTTGGGCAGGTCAGGCCTCCCTTCCCCCATTGACCACCCCATCAAGCATGGCTGGAATGAGGGGACCCTGGTGCTCCCTCGGCTGACCGATTCTCTTGCAGATGTTTCAGCACCCAACTAGGGAACATCATCAGTGCTAGAAGGGAGTGGGGTTTATGGTGATGTTGGTGGAGGAGGAGGAGGAGGAAGAAGACTACTCTGGGGCCATTGGTGCCCTCTGAGTTAGATTGCAGACGTTTTATTATCCAACTGGGTAACATCATCCATGCTGGGAGGCGGAGTTTGTCCTCCCTCCCTTTTCACTGCAAAGCAGCTCCCTTTCCCAACCTTCGCATCTCATCTGTGGACCTCAACTCCCAGAATTCCCCCAGCCGGCCATAGAGTTGGGAGACCAGAAGGATCGCCTACTCCACTCTATCTAAACCTTGACAACTTGAATGTGTGTGGACTTCAGCTCCTGGCTGGGGAGTTCTGGGAGTTGAAGTCCACGCCTCTTAAAGGTTGCCAGAGTTAGGAAACCCTGCTCTAACCCTGCTCAGTCGGCTGGGCTGCTTCCTAAATTCATCTGGACTGACACCGCTTCATCTCAGAAAAAAATTGGGGTGGCAATTGCTTCCTTTTGCTCTGGATCCAAAACAACCAGGCAGTGGCTGCGCACAACACGCTGCCGTCATCCGGCCAAGAGGCCTTGTGGATGCGTGAAAGGAAAGGCTAAAGCCGGGCTGGGACCGGCACGGGTGCTTCCCCCCCATCCGTGCGCGATCCGTTTCTTTTCCTGCAGGGGTGAACCAGTTTTGCCAAGACATCGTCGACATGATCCGTCAGTGCCCGCCCTGGTGCAGCCGGCTGGTGCCGTACTTCAAGGCCTGCTGGGTGATCGTCACGCCGGGGACGTTGCTGGTAGGCCAGGCGGGGGCTTTGCGGTCTTCCTGCCCCCACCGCTCTTGTGGGGAGAGTATAATGGGCAGCCATGGGGCGCCCTCCCAGCCCTCGGCCATCCTTGTCCGCTCTGCTCCCTTCGCAGTTCATTCTCTTCTACGTCTTCCTGGACCTGTCAGGCACCAGGCTGCACTACGGAGCGTACCAGTTCCCGCGGTGGGGCCAGGCCCTGGGCGTCTGCGTGGGGGTGCTGAGCTGCATTCAGATTCCGCTTTGGGCTGGCATCGCCCTCTGCAAGGAGTCCGGGACACTGGCAGCTGTGAGTCAGGGAAGGGAGCCCAGTGGGTCGTGGGAAGGGCTGTTAGTAGGGGTAGACCTCCCGCCTTCCACCTGCAGGACAGGGAAGGGGCCGAGTCGGGCAGCGCTCCAGGTGTGTCCATCCTGTGCCGCAACCGAGGGCCCCCAGGGGAAGCCCTGTGGCAAAGTGCAGTCAGTCTGCCCCCAGGAACCAGAGGTTTATTCTTCCAAGCTTTTGGGATTCATGCTGGCACACATCCCCGTTGCTCTTCTGGCCTCATCTGCCCACGTCCGTCTGCAACACAGGCCTACCTTGCAGGGCTCTTCAGAGGGATTTCCAAAGATTTCCCCGATGGCAGAACTGCTTCCCAGAGACTTAAGCGGCAGGCGAGCGTCTTTGCTGGACAGCGTTTTGGTCTGGGGCGAGCCGCTCGAGCCCCCCTGTAGGCAGGACTCTCTCTGGGGGATGGAAAGAGCCGCCCCCTCAGTGCAGCATTGCTGACCTTAGGGGCCAGGGGCAGCTCTGCACCCCTCCTGGAGACCTCGGGTTGCAGGCTGGAGACAAAAGGTCGTAAAATGAGGCTAGCTTCCAGACACCCTGTCCCGGCCGTGTGCAGCAGCCCTTGAGGAGCCCCACAGCCCTGGGACTTTTCCCAGTGGTCCTGGCGGTGGCAGAGGGGGGGTTTGCAGTGGGAGCCGCGTCCAAAGTCTCCCGTCCTGTCCTTGCAGCGCTTCAGGAAGGCCATCCGTCCTCGGAGCTCCTGGCGTTCGGCCAGCAGCCGGCAATTGCCCCACCAGGTCATCGATGTTCCGTACACCGTGAACTTGACGGTCAGCGACTTTGCCGGAGTTTGGCAACTGCCGGATCCCAGCGAGGCCTGAGGCTGTGGCCAACGCAGGAGGCGGCGGCATCTGTGCCGGTCCACTTACAGCTGATCCGACCGGCCACCCTTGCCGTCCCTTGGAGGGGGTTGTGGTCAAACAACACTGCAGGAGATGCTGCTGCTGCTGCTGCGTTGGGCCACCCTTGAGGCTGCTGGTTCCCCCCACGCCCTCCCCACACAAGCCCAGGGGCTGGGCCGGAGCTGCCGCTGGCCCACCCCTCAACCAGGCAGCCACTGCTCCAGAGACCTTTCAGGACAGCTTTGCCCCGTCTCCGAAATCGGCCAGTGTCCACTGGTGCTTTGCTGCCCCGTGGCAGCTCTCCTCACCCGCCTGGAGTATAGGAAGTCCTCAACCTACGACCACAATCGAGCCCAATTGCTAAGCGAGACAGACTTTTAAGTGAGTCTTGCCCTATTTACGACCTTTCCTGCCCAATTGTTACGTGATTCACTGCAGTTTCTAACTTAGTAACACGGACGTTAAGTGAACCTGGCTTCCCCTTCGACCTCACTTGTCAGGAGGTTGCAAAAAGGGATCCCCGCGACCATCATAAACACACATCGGTTGTGTTTCAATTTGGATCACGTGACTGTGGGGGATGCTGCAGCTGCCCTAAGTGGGAGAAACGGCCAGAAGTCACTTTTTTTCAGTGCTGTTGCAACTTTGGTCATTTCCCGAATGGCCGCAAGTCGAAGACTTCCTGTCCCCCTTCTCCGCTTTCCCTCCACTCGGCTCACTCGATGGCTCCCCTTGCATTCGGCTCACCTGCTGCCTCCTTTCCACCTTGGCAGGAGGTGCCCTGGGCTGGCTCAGCCTCCAGCACCGCCTCTCGTGCAGCAGCGCAAGACGAAGCGGCAACATCTGCCTGCTGCCCACAGCTGGATTACAGGAGGACCGAGGAGAGGAATCTCCACGGACAAGGGGCACTTTGGGCTGGTGCCCCTGGATGGACATAACCTTTTCGAAGGGCCTCCTTCCGGTGCTCCCTGGGCCCACCCAGGCTGCAGCGCACAGGAAGACTCTACACAATCGTGCCAAGTGTGCTCTCCCTCCTCCCCACACCCAGGGGGCTTTACACAGCACTGCCCTTTGCAAAGGGCGATGGGGGCACCCCAAACTCGAGCAAAGCCTGAGCATTTCCAGAGGCCTTTCTGGAAACCAGACCAATAAACCTGTGGTGCCTGCGTGGGAAGGGCAGGGAGCCGTTGCGTGGGCTGCCTGTTGTGTCCCCAGGCTGGCCTCCCTCCCGGGGAATCTGGGCTCTTTGGCGTGGGACGTTCTCCTGGCTAGTGGCGGAGAGTTCCACCAGCCGAGAAGGTAGGAGCCTTGCCTAGGAAAACACCCCTGGGCCCTTCAGAGAAAAGAGAGGCCTCCCCCGCTTGGCTGGGCAGCTGTCCCAGAAAGACACCACGCGGCCAACCTTATTAAAATAGTCTACATGCTTTATTAGATTCAAAACAGTTTTACGAAAGCAGCCGGCCGGCCCAAGGAGCTGCCCCCCTTCGGTGCCTGGGCAGCCCCTCCGCAGCCTTGCTGGCCAGGCGGCCGCCTTCCTCCTTGCCCTGAGACCCAGAGAGACGGGCTCCTGTGTGGCCACTCCGGCCGGTCCAGGACGCAGCCAGGAGTCTGAGGCATCGCCCTCCTGTACTCAGCTGCACAGAGCAGCCACGAAGCTTTGGTTCCACTCCCGGGGGAAGGCCGCAGTCCAGGGGCGCCTGTTGGGGTTCCCCTGCTCTGGCCGCATGGAGGGCAGCAGCAGCAGGCAGAAGGGGGGCAGCGGGTGCAAGCCATGCGCAGCCAAGCAGGGCCCTCTGGCCCCAGGAGGCCCCCCCAGCAAGAGTGTCTCTGTCGCTCGGTCCAGGCGTTCCGGCGGAGGGCAGCCACGGGCGCCTTGCCCGGTCCTTCCGTGTCCTCCGGCTACTTCCGGGGCTTCTTGAAGATCTTTAGGGGGAACTTCTTCTTCCCGGGGCCCGAGTCCGTCTCCTCGCCGGTGGAGCCGCTGTCCTCCTCTGCCCCGGTCTTCTTGGCCGCCAGGTGGGGGATGCGGCTGTTGGCCTTGCCAGACAGGAGGGAGAGTGCGGTGCGGCCGTTGGCAGGCGGGGAGGGGGTGTCGGGCTCAGTGGAGCTGGGGCTGTGTGACCGAGAGGAGTCCCCTGAACGGGCCCCCGCCGGCCCCAGCTCCCCCAGGCTGGCCGCCTTCTCCAGCCCCCCGTGGTGGTGGTTGAGTGGGGGCACCTTCTTCATCATCAGCGGGCTCTCCAACTCGGCGGGATCCGGTGGGTGCTGCTGTTCCTCAGCCGGCTTGTGCAGCAGGGCGGGGCGCAGCTTGGGTGCGGAAATGGCTGCCCGCTGGAGGTCGCCCAGGTGCGGGATGGAGGAGTCCGAGTCCGAGTGGGCCAGGTCCCTGGGGGGGGGGGCGGGGGGGGAGATGAGAAGACGTGAGTCTGGGAGCACCGGACCCCATGCAGCAGCTGCCCTCAGCGGTGCCCCCCTCCCCAATTCCTTCACACGCAAGCAGCTGCCTTCCGGTGCCCCCTCCCCAATTCCTCCCCAGACTGAACCCAGGGAAGGCCGGCAAGGAATTTTCCTCCATGCCCCCTCCCCAAAGACTCCCCCCTCCCCCAAGTAGGCTGATGCACAGAGGCGGCTGCAAGCAGGTGGGTGGGGGCTGGCTCCCTTTCTCCCACCTGGGTGACATGGGGGGGGGGGGCTGGAATCCAAATCCCACCACAACAGTCCTGGGGGAGGAGTCCGGGCGGGAGGGGCTTGGCCTCTTCCCAAGGGGGCGGGGGGGAAATCCCAGGCTGGAGTGCACCTGCCTGTAGACCGATGGCAGAGACCCCTGCAGTGCCTTGCAGCCCCCGCTGAGCCCACCTTGATGGAGGGCTGCTGGAAGGGCCTCACTCTCAAATGGAGAGTACTGGGGGGGAGGGCATATAAGTCTGTCCCCCCAGGCAGCCGCCCCAGGCGAGGGGCCCGAGCAGCCTCAGCAGAAGCCGGGCCACGCAGACCGGCGGACACGAGCCGTCCGCAGCGCTTGGAGCACAGCAAACGCAGCCACACTCCATCCCGGGGTCACGAGAGCTGACGGTGCGGTTAGTGGGGTTCACGGGGAGACACAGCAGGCACCACACCCCGTGCAGCGGCTGCCAGCGGAGGTTAGGGGAGGGAGCAGGTGCCACGGCCGAGCAGACAGGACGGTACCCCGAGCTCTCGGTCTGGCCGTGTGTCCCCGAGGTGACGTCGGGAGGGGGCAAGTTGGGCAGGGCATCCATCTGCAGGATGTAGGAGGAGGTGGTGTGGTGGTAGAGGACGGGCAGCCCGTGGCAAGTGGGAGCGGAGGGCGCGCCATGGCCGGCCGAGGAAGAGGAGTACGGCGGAGCTGTTGGGACCTCGATGCTGCCACCGGTGAGGCTGGGCATTCGGCGGAGAGTGACCCGGCCGGGCAGGTAATGCACCAGCGGTCCCGATTCCCCCTGGCTGGGGGCCTGCTGGTGACTCTCTACCAACCTCTGCGATCCCAAGGAATGCTGGGGGTCCATCAGGCGCTGGCGAATGACGCTGCTTGGCAAGGTGGGAGCTGGCGGGAGAGAAGGGAAGAAGGGCCGGTTAGGGAGGGGGAGAGGCTGCACGCCGCTTCCTTCCCTTCCCCCTTGCCTGGAGGGAGGGAGGATGGGGAGGGGCGGGCAGAGGCCGTCCTGCTTCCCACCGCCCCAGTCCCCCGTTTCTTCTCCCACCCCCCGTGATGCAGGCAGCCAAGGGGAGCTTTTCCACAGTGCAGCTGGAGCACCCAAGGCAGTGGGGCTGCCCCCTGACCGCCCACCACCCGCCGGCCCCAGCCCCACGGTGCCCAGGGAGGTGCCCACGGCCGCTGGCTGGGCCCGAAGGGGCATGCAAACAGGACGCGAGGGGTTGCCCGGAGCACAAAAGACACGAGGAAGAATCAGGCCCTGCTGGGAAGCGAAGAACCAGGAAGCAGCCGCTTGGGAGGACCATTCGGCCCCTGAGCCCAGCCCTCCCCCCCCCCCTTCAGAGCGCCCCTCCCAGCCTGTCTCGGGGAGGGGGAGGCAAAGTCTGGGGCCCCTCCTGCACCTCTTCCCTGGATGGGGATAATTTGGAGTGGACAAACGTGCTGGCAAGGAAGGCCCCTCCGCAGGGGGCCCATCTGGAGGGACCGCGAAGGAGGGCCTTGTCCGTGGTGGCTCCCTCCCTGTGGGACATCATCCCCCTCCCCCGGACCCTCTTCCGCACGGCACTGAGAAAACCTGCTCCTGCCAGCAGGCCTGGGACAGTGGTGGCACTCGACCGGTTTGGCCTGGTTCTGCTTAGCGCCGATGAGCAGCGGGGACCAAACTGGTTCTCTCCACTGCTCTGGTCTTGGGCTCACCTGCCCTCACCTGGATTCCCTGCTTTGGAAGCGCAGCCGCTTTGCGCGGCACAGCCGAGTGCGGCACGGCAGCTGCAGAAGCCGCGGGGAGAGTTCAGGGAGGAGGTGAGTTGGAAGGCCTCTGCACTTGCACAAAGTGCGCATTTGGTGCGCGCACACACACACGCAAACCGTGTGCAAAGTGCGCCCAGCGAGCCACACCCACCGAACCGTTGGTAAAAACCTTACAATCCCACCACTGGCCTGGGAACCTCCGAGTGGGGGATTCTGGGAGTTGAAGTCCAGAAGTCTTAAAGCTGCCAGGGCTCTCCAAGTTTGGCCCCTTTAAGACTTCTGGACTTCAACTCCGCCAGAAATGCAGGAGGGGCTGGGTGGGCCCCCTTCCTCTCCCTGCCCCCCAATCCCGTGGTTCTTCGCTCCGACGGGCACCGCCCTCTGGAAGGGGTGAGGGGTGAGCCGAGAGAGGCAGCAGAGGGGTGAGGATTAGCCGCTGGGCTGGAAAGGAGAAGCGCCCAGACGGGGGGGGGGGGGCCGGGGGGGTTTAGTCCGGTGGGTGAAAGCGAATCCAAGAGAAGGCGCCTCAAACCGGGGTCCTTGCAGAAGGCCTGGTCCTCCAAGCAGGGGCCGGAGTGGTCGCTGCACTGGCGCCCCAAAAGCAGGGCCACGTCTGGCATTGGCAGGGAGAGAGAGAGCGTGTCACCCCCACGGGGCCTCTGCGGGGGACCCCAGGGCCTGCCTGCCCCCCCCCCAGCCCAGGCCCTTCCCTCCGCCCCCACCCCCCCCAGGGGAGACCCAAAGGGGGAAGGATGACCAGCCTCGCCTGTACCCCAAGGCACCCCCCTCTGTGACCCCTCCCAGGTGCCCAGCTGAACTCTCTGTGCATGCTCAGAGGCACTGCTGGGATGGAGCCTGGGGGCTCCTCCGCTGCTTTGCCCAGAGTAAGGCAAAGGGCAGCTAGTCCTTGGCTTACAACCATTCATCCAGGGACTGTTCCAAGTGACCACTTCACTAAGTGACTTGTGACCATTTTTCACCCTTACAACTGCCGCAGCCTCCCCCAGGACATGGGATCAAAATTTGGCCCCTTGGCAAGCGACTCATTTTTATGACGGCCGCAGGGATCCCCTTTTGCGACCACCTGATGAGCAAAGTCGGCGGGGAAGCCGGGTTCGCTTAACAACCGTAAGGCTTAGTTGAACAAATGCAACGATTCACTTAGTGACGGTGGCAACAACGGCCATCCAATGGGTCATAACCCACTTGAGAACGGTCTCGCTTAGACGTTCTGGGCTCAACCCCCTGGTCGTAATTTGAGGACCCCCTGGGCACTTCCTGGAGCCGCCTCCCTTGAAGGTAGGGGAGGGGTGTGCGGGGGAGGAGGGGGAGGGTCGGGGGGTCCGGGGCCCTCCCCCACTTACACTGCATGGAGACGGGGGAGACCATCTCCTCGTCCAGGTCGTCCATGTCGTCCGTCATGATGAAGTGGGAGGGGTTGGGGCGCGGGGGGCCCCCCACCCAGCTGGGGTCGATGTTGAGGGCCGAGACCAGCGTGGGGATCCCCGGGTTGCTGACGATCTGGAAGCCGCAGAGCAGCTCGATCTGCTGCCAGCGGTGCAGCCGCTCCCGCAAGGCAGCCGTCACCTCGCTCAGCGCCTGCCTGCAGGGGGGAGGGGGGAGAGTGAGGGGGGTTGGGGGGGCCAGCGCAACCCTCTTGGGGGCCCCCAGGCAACCCCACAGCTAGTCCTCCGCTTGCAACCGTTCGAAGTTACAACGGCACTGCAGAAAAAAGGGAGGTAGGAGAGGTCCTCACACTTACGACCGTTGCACTGTACCATGGTCGGTGACCCCAAGGGGCAACCAACCTGTATTTATGATGGTTACATGGTCATAAAGTCGGGCAAAGCTCACTTAACAACCATCTCACCCAGCGACAGAAAGTTTGGGGCTCCGTTGTGGCCGTAAGTGGAGGACGTCCGGCATTTATGACTGTTGCCACCTTCCGGGGTCCCCTAGAATCCCCCTCCTCCCCAGAAACCTTCCCAGCTGCTTCCGACAGGCCAAGTCAATGGGTGGAAGCCGGATTCACTTAACGACCACGTCATTCACTTAAACCATTGCAGTGATTCGCTCAATAACTATAGCAAACTATGTAAAATCAGGCAGGACTCACTGAACGACCGCCCTGCTTTGCAATGGAAATTTTGGTCCCAACTGCGGTGAAGGTCCAGGGCTACCCATCCCGGAGGGGCCCCTCTATACAGCCTCAAGCAGCCCAGCTGAAATGGAGGGGGGGAGGGGAGGCCCTCCCCACCAGCCCCCCCCTCCAAGCATCGCTGCCGCCTTGTGGGCCAACGCCTGAGTGGAGAGCGGGGGGGGGGGTGTCTCCCCCACTGGACAGAGGACGCCCCCCCCGCACCGCAAAGGCTGCTGGGGGGGGCAGCAGGAGGGGGGGAGGCACCAACTCACTTGGCGGTCAGGATCTTATGGTCCACGTCGTCCAGGGAGGAGCTGTGGGCCACGTGGAAGGTGCCAAAGAGGGTGTTGCGCTTCTTCTTGATCTTTTCGGCCTGGAGGGGGAGCGAGAGACGGTTGGGCCACGCTCGGGGGGGGGGCAGCAAGACGGGCCCCCCAACCCTCAATCGAGTGGCTGCAGCTTGGTCTGCTGGGAACTTCCGTCAATCAACCAACCAACCAACCAATCAGAATAGAGCTGAGAGGGACCTTGAAAGGTCTTCTAGTCCAGGATCTTAGGCAACCTTAAGCATTCAAAGAGCCACAGAAGATCCTAACTGGAAGCCCCCCCCCCCACTCCCCCCACCGTTCAATCTTGGAGCCAACCGGACGTCCGGTTCCCCCCACCATAGAGTCTCCTCCTAGCAGGGCGTCCTTTTTCCTCTCCCTGTCCTAACCGAAATCCCCGTCAATTGTGGAGCCAACCCGCGACCGGGAGCCGCAGCAGAGGGAGGAAAGAGACCCAGGCGGCTCTAGAGCCACGGGTTGCTGACCCAACCTGTTGCTCAAGCAGGAGACCTCTACCATTCCTGACCAGCAGCTGTCCAGTCTCTAGAGATGGAGGAGCACCCACAACTTCCAGTGTCCGGCTGTTCCACTGGCTAATTGTCCTCCCTGTTCAGGAAGTTCCTCCTTGGTTCCAGGTTGCTTCTCTCTCCTTGGTTACAATTTCCACCCGCTGCTTCTTGTCCTGCCGCCTTCTGGGGCTCTGGAGAAGAGCTTGACTCCCTCTTCTTTGGGGCAGCCCCTCAAATGCTGGAAGGCTGCTATCAAGTCATCCGCCCCCCCCCCCCCCCCCTTTTCTCTCGCCTGGCCAGACCCAGTTCCTGCAACCCCCCTCCCCACCTCCCTGCTATCTGAAGGACCCCCTTTTCCCAGTCCTCTCCACCTGGCCCACCAGAGCAGGGAGGCAGGGGATGATGGGTGGGGGGCTCCTTAAGGAGGTCCATCTGGTGGGACCGGGAAGAAGGGCCTTCTCCGTGGTGGCCCCCCTCCCTTCAGCTGCAGCTTCTAAGACAGGCGGGGGAGGGGTTGTGGCCATGGGGAGCTGCTATGGACTCCGGCCCCTCCTCCTCCTCCTCGCCCGACTCCTGGGAAAAGCTGCTCTGCAGCCCTACAAAAGCCTCTTCCGTGCGTTGCAGAACGGAGAAAAAAGGGGGAAACAGGGGAGGTTCCAGCTAAGGAGCAAAAACCACAAGGGGGCTCCCCTGGGGAGGAAGATGGGACAGGCCCAGCGACAGGGGGCGAGTCTTCCAAGCTCTTCGTTTTTCACACCCACGGACAGAATCTGGCCAGACTGACCCAAGCCTTGTTCTGACCCAAACCTGGTTCCAAGGAGAGCAACACCAAACGGAGGCAACAGCAAAACCTTTTCATGATTCTTTAGGAATTCCGTTCCTTCCCGGTTAAAAGGCTGTTTCGAACTCATTGTCCCTGATAAGAACGAGCCTGGCCAAGGTGGTGCAAGGCTGTCAAGAACACTGGATAAAGTTGCCAAGAAATAGTTCAAACACAAAGAGTCTCCAAACACAAACTAAGAGAGTCCGAATGTCCACAAGGCTTGAGTGCACAAACTTCTTTGCTTCCTGCAAAGAACTCCGGGCTCTCAGGCTGGCTTTTATCCCTTAAGGGAGGGGCCACTATCTTGCAGCCTTACTCCCGAGTCACCCGTGCTGCTGCAGCTGCTCATGCATGCGCGCTGGGCACAGGCTCCTCGGGGGCCTCTTCCTCACTGCTGCCAGCCTCCGCAAGCTCCGAAGGCCGCACTCCACTCCCTGATGGTCCTGGCCCCATCCCTGCATCCCACGCAGGCCCCTCATCCGAGTCCTCGCTCTCCCGGACCTCAGCCGTCCACACCGCTGCCGGCGAACCCCAACGAGCCTCTCTCTCCTCCTATCTGCATCTACAGTGCACCCTGGGAACAAGGGAGGAGGCGCCGCCTTCTTCGCCCTCCCTCTCTCTCTGACACCCAAAATATCCAGGCTGAGTTGTCTCTTCATCCTCTTGAGTGAAGCCCCTCCCACCTGCATTCCATCCCATCTCTACTGGTACGTCCTCAACATACAGACATTCATTTAGTGACCACTTAAAGTTGCAGTAGCCCTGAAAAAGTGACTTGTGACTGGTCCTCGCACTTATAACCAATGCAGGTCATCATCGCGGCCACGCGATCAAAATCGGGGTGCTTGGCAACCGGCATGTATACAGCAGTTGCGAAGCGCCTGGGGTTGTGTGCTCGCCCCTTGCGGCCTCCCCAGGCAGCTTCCAGCAAGCAGAGCCAGTGGGGGGGGAGTTGGATTCACTTAACGGCTACGTGGTTCAATTAACAACCCACGGCCAAAAAAGAAAAAGGATATAAAATCAAGTGGGATTCATTGAACGACGAATAAACCGAAATCATTCTGGTCTCGGTCTTGTGGCTGTACGTTGAGGGCAGCTGCCCACCGAGTATCCCGTAAGGGCCTGTTGCCCAGGTTGGAAGGCCCCCCTCCCTGCCGTATGGCCCCCCCTGGCACTCACCCCCTCCTTGGCCAGGAGCAGCTGCTTCTCCGCGTTCTGCTTCTTGATGTTGTAGTACTGCACCTCCACCTCGTGCGTCAGCTGCAGCCACTTCTGGAGGGCCCCGGGGGCCGCCCAGCTGCTGTGCGACTCCAGCTCCTTCTCCGCATTACGGAGGGCCATGCGCACCTGGGGGGGGGGG